GACGCCTAACAACTGAGCCACCCAGGCGCCCCAAAATAACTCTTTTAAGTCTAAAAGGTTAAGTGGGGGAGTGCAGTTAACAGAGACTTCCGCTGGACAGTGAGCCTATCAGAGTCAGTTATGATTTAAATCATGATAGGCACATCTGATTCTTGGCATAGGGCTAAATCCTCTTCCCAAGTCCTTAAATATAAGACAGAACTAGGACAGCTTTTTAAAGGAAATATATTATGAATACACAATTGAATGATGGATATAAATTCTAGAAATGAAAACACTGGGTATAAGTCATACTTTAAGTGGACCAAGAGAACAGAACACTAAGACAGATTAATGAAAACAACAGAGAAGAAAACCTTACCATCCAGAAACCTAACCCATCCGGAAACGATAAAGCTTTGGTTAGGTACAACCTGAATAAGAGTTCTCAATCAACTATGCCTTTGGCACTGCAAGATCTTCCATCTAATGGAGGCACTTAATTTGGGGGTCAAAAACGAGCAGATGAGGGACTGAAGAGGAACAATAAATACAAAATACTGTGTATCCAACAAAAACAGGTGAGAACCCGGAAGTTTCACTTCAATACTTCAACTTTTATTCCTGAGAATCAAAACACTTACCTCTTCTTAGTTGGTTCTGTTGTGTTCTTCCCAAGGATTTCTCTAATGAAAGTAAATATATTTCATTACATATGCATGGGCTAGTACTAGTCCTAACTGTGAACAAGAGGTAACTGACAACACTGATTTTCTTGGTTACTCCCCCTGGAACTAACCAGTAGGGTAGGAAATATAATGCTTACAACATTTAAGGTGCGTAATAAATTTTAAGTTTCAATGAAATATGCTCAAGTTATTATCATCACATACCTCCCACAGTAATCAAAAAAGCTTAAAATTTAAGTGTTTACATTTTACTAGTAAAACATGGTACCAGGCTGCCAAAGTCATTTTCATGCACTGGGAAGGTATAATATTCTCTAACACAAAGAGAAAGAGACAATTTGTTGCAGTATAATTTGGTCAATGACCTGCAACTGGGGAGCACCCATTAACATTTACAAAGAAATGAATGGAGAAATTCTCAACAAAAACTGCTAAGGAATCATAGCTCTAAAGGCTCTCCATTCAAGGGCATTGTACCTTTCTCAGATAAAAGAAATAAAATGATCAAAATTCCATATATAAAAAATTAGCAAAGTTTCTAATTCCATATTGTATGATTTGATATTAAAAAGGATAAAAGGAATATACTTTGACTTTATCAAATGGAAAAAAGTTAATTCTGTAGGCCTGTTTTGTTTTTCAAGGGAATAACGGGTCTTACCATAATGCTACGTTGAAAAACAAACATCTTATTTCATGAAGATATCACACCTGGGACTCAGCCTGAGTAAGCAGGAAGTCTAGGGCTTTCTCGGGAGGCTCCTTTCCGTTTGGGGCCCTCGGAGAACAAGGCATCACTAGAGTGGCACAGTCATAAAATGGCCATCTTACGAAGTAAGGCCAAGAGTCACTAAAGTGGTCACTAAAATTCCCTTCTGAAATGCACTGTTACTTGTACTCATAGAACTGTGTGTGTTTTGTTTTTAAAGAATCAGTTTTACCTCATTGCTTTCTGCTCCTCCTCCATCTGTTCTCTGACTTGCTGTAGTTCCTTCAGTAGTTCAAGATCTGTGCCATTCACCCAGGTATAAACCACGTCAATTGGCATGGGCAGACAGAGCCTAGGGCAAACCCACAGGTCTTCCAGCTTACATGAATTTTTCCAATACATTTGGGAATAAGAGTATAACAGGGCTTAAATTCAAAGGTTATGAAAAAAAAAATCAATGAAAAGGTAATCCAACCAACCAACCATATCATAGAATTGCATGTTTTCAAACTGGTGCTGGGAGACTATTTGTTGAGAACTTTCTCTGCAAGATGCATGCAGATCTTTATGCAGTTCTGCATCACTCCACTTTAAGACTGTCAGGAGGTCTCGGAAGCTCAGTTTACACTCCTACATGCTCAGTTTAGCAAACAAGGGTGCTGTGATGCAAATGTAGCCAGACATAGAAAAGAAATTAGAAGCTAAGCAAAATTACCAAAAAGGAGTTATCCAACAGTTCCTAATGAAGACCCAGCCCTATTTAATGCTGCAGCCTTCCTTATTCCCTGCTGCCCCAAGTCCAGCCCCTCCCAACCCTCCTTCCCCTGCCCTTTTTCTTGTCTTCATAGCACTTACCACCTTCTAACATATTAAATAATTAACATGTTACCTACATTGGTAACTGGATGTGTCCCTCCCCCAGAAATAAGCTCCAAGAAGGCAGGAAGCTTTCCTGTTTTGTTCCCTAAGGTATCCAACCAATTAGAATAGTGCCCAGCGCACAGAAGCTCAGTATTTGTTAAATGAGTCAATGATATATATGAAACACTAGAACAGACCTTCCTGAAACTGCTTGATTTCTTCCTTATTATCTTTTCCTCAAAAAAGTCAGGCAGGCATCTAATTCGTATCTCACCGTGCTCGCTTCGGCAGCACATATACTAATTCGTATCTCACCTAAGTCTCGTGTTAGTGTTTTGTTCAGGTTTTACCCCTGCTGAAAGCTCTCTTCCCCTTTCTTTTACCAACTTAACCAAAATCCCCCCCATCTTTCAGGTCTACTTCGGACCTATGATACAGGAGTTCATCATGACTCAAAGGCAAGTGGCATTTCAGCAAAGATGTGAAGGAATTGAGGAAGCAAGCAATGTGGGTAACTGGGGGAAGAACGGTTCAGAGAATGGGAATACCACATGCAAATGCTCTGAAGCAGACACCTAACTGGCAATGGTCAAGGAGCTAAAGGACAGTGTGGCAGAGACAAGGGGGGAAAAGGGAAGAGCATAAGAGAAGATGAAGGTCAGAGAGGAACCAGGGACCCAAAGCTTCATGGGAAAAATGAGGAATCACCGAATACTCAAGACATATGTGAAAGCTGAACATCTACCAACCCTCCTAATGATGTTCACTATTGTCTGCAGAATAACATCTAAACCGTGTCATAATCTGCACCTTGTGCTCTAGACACTCTAGTCGCTTACCCCAACGGAGTAAGACTTGCCAGCTTTTGTGCCTTTGAACATGCCTCTCCCTCTGCCTAAAATATCCTTTTTTACATGCTTTGTTGAACCACTTCCTCCTTCCCCAATCGCCCTCTCCCCTCACCTCCCACAAAGAGAATGTACTGCTTACCATGCAGCTTCTATTGTACTCTGTACTCTAAGGAATCCTTAGCACACTATGTTATACTAGCTTTTATGCATGTCTGTCTTCCACTAGATGGACTATCTAGGGCAGATGTGGTACCATACATTCTGTGCCCTGCCGCATTAATGACTTCCCCTCTTTCCTACATCTTCAGGTTCTCTCTCCTCACCAGAACAGTATGCGAAAGCTTCCTCAGTTAGGTCCTTTATGCATTTATTATACCAATGGTTCTCAAACATTAGCATGCATCAGAATCACCTTAGGTCTTGTAAAACAGATTGCTGGGCTCTATCCCCAGAGTTTCTGATTCACTAGGTCTGGAGTGGGGCCCCAGAACTTGCATTTCTAACAAGTTCCCAGGTATGGCAATGCTGCTGGTCCAGAAATCCACACTAAGAACTAATGATTTATATACAGGTTGCAGTTCACATACTTAAGTTAAAAAAGATTTAAAAAATAGCTTCCCCCCGCTAAAATGCCAATTCTCTATGAGGTCAATGAGTTCCTCTTGGTCATCACAAGATGCCTAGGAATAGGGCCTGGTACATGAGTGGGGTTTAACATATACTTGTTGGCTAAATTAACTCTAAGTTCATTCCCTCAACATATATATCAGTCTTTCCCATTAAAAAGAAATGTCTTGCATTGCCCACACCTAAATTATCCAAGGTCATCTCATTCCCAATAGTTCAGACCAAAAATTAATTTGAAAAAACTGCTTTGGTGACATATTTTTTAAGTTATTTTTTTAAGATTAAAAAAAAAAGAAGAATTGCACATTCCAAAGCTATTCTGTACAAGTTATTACCTGCTATTAGAAAATTTTTAACAGGGCGCCTGGGTGGCTCAGTCGTTAAGCGTCTGCCTTCGGCTCAGATCACGATCCCAGGGTCCTGGGATGGAGTCCCGCATTAGGCTCCCTGCTCCGCGGGAAGCCTGCTTCTCCCTCTCCCACTCCCCCTGCTTGTGTTCCTGCTCTCGCTATGTCTCTCTCTGTCAAATAAATAAAAAAAAAAATTTTTTTTTTAACAGAGTGAGGAGATATCCATACATGTTCAATTGGGGAAAACATTAAGTATATAATGGATTTATGTACTGGCTCTTCTGATAAGGTTGTATTATATGATCAATTTAATTCTCTGGTGTTAAACTAACAAACTAAGGAGATCGTGTGATCTGCCCCAGGTCAGTGAGTCAGTTGTTTTTCTACTATTAGACATGGCCACAGTGAGTCTGAGTCTTTCTTTCTAACCACGAGACCACTATATCTTAGTTTCCAGATGAGAAGAAAGCCTTTATCTTAGAGCTGAAGACTAAATAAGTTACCTATGACTCAGAACCAAAGCCATGTGACAGTAATACAGCTTTTATTTTAATCAGTTCAGTTTAAGTAAATATACAGGCACTATGACATATAAAGGACACTGTGAATGTAGTCCCTTGTTTCTACATTCTATAAAATAGGTTAAGAAAACTTAAATGATATCTTGGATCCAAAGAGTTGGAAGAGATTTTACACTTAATTAATCTAATACCTACATTTTAGAGATGACTAGTCGCAGACTGACTTAATGCCTCACAATTAGTAGCAGTAGATAATTTATATATTCACTTCTTAATGACATATAGAACTTTGTTTTAAACAACATTTCAAATAACATTAAAGGGACTTGCAGAGAAACTAGCAAAATAATGAAAACTTCCTACAAATATTATGGTATTTTAAAATATATCAGAACAGGGGCGCCTGGGTGGCTCAGTTGTTAAGCGTCTGCCTTCGGCTCAGGTCATGATCTCAGGGTCCTGGGATCAAGCCCCGCATCAGGCTCCCTGCTCAGTGGGAAGCCTGCTTCTCCCTCTCCCGCTCCCCCTGCTTGTGTTCCCTCTCTCGCTGTGTCTCTCTCTGTCAAATAAATAAATAAAATCTTTAAAAAGTATATATATATGTATCAGAACATGTGATGTTATATATGATCCATTTACTTGTCATCATCAAAATTAGGCAATTTTGAAATATCCCTATATAAAAATCAAACTATATTTTAATGCAATCTAAAATTAGGAGGAGAAATATTTAACACACATACACGAAATTTTTCAGAAAGAGAACAAGAACTGCTGACCTCCGTATCTGGATTTTCTAAAGCTACTTTTCCTTCTGAAGTTTTGAAGCTCCTTCAGGGCAGGGATTCCTGCAAGTGTGCACCATCAGCACAAGCACAGCATAAGGCACAGTAGGTTGAGTAGGTGCTTGATAAATATTGATTAAAAAAAGACAATTCATTTTGAGCTTTTCTTAAGATAACTGGCAATAATGAAAACAAAGTAGGAAAATTTTATTTCATTAAGAATCTGTAAATGAATTGTTCTCAAAGTGTAGTCACCAGACCAGCAGCTTCAGTGTCACCAGTGAACTTGTTAGAAATGAAAATTCTGTGAGCCCCTCTGAGACCTCCAGACTCAGAAACTCTGAGGGTGGGAGGAAAATGCATTTTCTCAAGCCTTCCATGGGATTCTGCTGCACACTAAGGTTTTGAGAACTGCTATGTCAAAGAACATTTAATAATTATTCACTTCACACTTAATAATTATTAAGGACCCCAAAAAGCTTCTGTTTATAGGTTATAACTATTATTTGCCATATTTGAAAATAAAACGTTAAAAATATTATAATATTCATTTTAAAACAAAAAACCTCTTCACACATTAACATGAATAACTTTTTAAATGAAAATAACAATATTTTCCAAAACAATAAAAAAATCTAGTGAGAAGAGAGGCACTGATTTACATTTCTGCCAGTCTCTTTAATGACTTAGTAGAAGAGAGCAAGCACCTCAGATCTTCTGTGTTCAATCTATTCCCATGTGTTGTTTTGGTTGAACTATGTAACAAAAACCCAGGCTCATACAGATACTTAGCTGGAAAGGAGAGTTGTATTTTAATAGCCTTTTCAGGGGGCCCCTTGGGTGGCTCAGTTTGTTAAGTGTCTGCCTTTCGCTCAGGTCACGATCCCAAGGTCCTGGGATCAAGCCCTGCGTGGGACTCTCTGCTTAGGGGGAGCCTGCTTCTCCCTCTCCCTCTGCCCCTTCCCCTTGCTCGTGTTCTCTATTTCTCAAATAAATAAAATCTTTAAAAAAATAATAAAAGCCTTTTCAGGTAATAGTGGGTTTTCCTCTCTGATCCTACACCAAAGTAACTGGTAGTTGCTTAAAAATTAGTTGCAGTGTGGAATATGAAGCCACATTAATGAACTTTCTGTGCTTTTCCACTGAAATCCACTGGTCCTTCTTGCACTTTGAATGGCTTTTTTACCCATGCAAGATTCTGTAACATCTGTAACAGTGATCCTATAACAATGTATTGGTTATCTGGAAAATAATAGCTTACTGAGTAAATGTAGATCTGCCAAATGGTGCCCTATTTCTTTCATTTTCTTATATAGTTTTAACGAATGTGATTTTTTGGACAATGCCACAGATCTAAACAGAGAAGTCTTTATGATACTGTGAAGCTGTTAAGCCCACAGTGATAGAAACAAGGTTTCCCAAATTCTTATTTTCACCTGAAAGCTCAAATTTTATCACTGGCAACAAATACTATTACTTTTTTTTCCTTCAAGACATAGAATTGCTTTGTTCCCTGTCAAGAAACATCTGCCAAATGACCAAGTCTGAGTAATAATACTGTCATCTGTCCTTTCAAGTTATGACAATGGTGTTCCATGAAACAGAAGGGCTAGTCTAGGTTGCAACTCAATCACACAGGGCTTTTCCTCAAGACACTCACCACAGAGTCACGTGCATTTCAGCGCACAGAACATTAAAAAGATGTGTGGTCAAAGTGTCAAGATATGATCAAATTAATAACTTTTACTGCTTCATCATGAACATTTTTAAGTGAAACTAGCTTTTATCTTACCCCTGCAAATATGGGGTAGTGAAGAATACAGTGACCCATGCTAAGATGTGGCAGTTTTACCAGCAATGCTTTTACACCATCAGTGCAAATGTCAACACAGTAAAAAAGACAAATAACACCTTAGTATGGTCATAAAAAATAGTTCTAATTTCGCAGATTGCTAGGGTCTTTGAAAACTGTTTTTAAGAGATTCTAAGAGGGATCTCTTAAAAATGGTTAAGTGTCTGCCTTTGGCTCAGGTCATGATCTCTGGGTCCTGGGATCAAGCCCTGTGTCAGACTCCCTACTCAGTGGGGAGTCTGCTTCTCCTTCTCCCTCTGCCTCTACCCTATCCCCCACCCCCACCCCGCTCATGCTCTCTCTCTCTCAAGTGAATAAATACAATATTAAAAAAAGAGAGAGAGAGAGATCCTAAGAGAAAAGCTTAGAGTTTCCCTACTTCACGAATTATTTGCGTACATGCTATTCTCCCCACTAGACTACACAATTCTTTACCACAAAATTATATCTCAGTGTCTAAAACAGAGGAAGACTCAAAGATTCATTCTTTGTTAAAGGAGTAAAGTCAGGGATGTCATTCACACATAAGGCACGAAAGCAAAGAGTAAAGCTTTACGTCAATCAAAGAATCCCTTAGCCCTTCCTCCCTAAGATGTTCATGACTACAGAGTGCATACATCCAATCAGCATAGTAATTTAAAAAACTGCTTATTTGATAGAAACCACATAGGCACTCATAAAAAGTGAACAGAGGGACAAGGAAGTGCTTCTAAGCGGGGAGCAAGGGCTCCAGAGCAATTGGTGATGTAGTCTACAAGTCTCAGGAAACTGTCAAGGTGTGCTAACTGACACCAACTGTAGTTACTTGTAGTTTCATTAGGTTTTCTGGTTCAGTGGGAACTATCCTCAGGGGGAAACGGACAGTCAGGATCAAGGGAGGATTTGGGTTATGGCCTCTGACATTTAGACTTTTGTGGGGTTAACCACCCTTGTTAGCTGCCCCACATTTGTTCCGGTCACCTACTGCTCCTTGCCCTGTAATGATTGGCTGTGCACCCTTACAATGGAAAAGAGTCAATAAATACTGCATAAAATGAATAAAAGGGAGAAAACTCCATTTATTTTTTAAAGTTAGAATGATTATTACCAGAAGAATCCAAAACAAAAATTCATTAATAATGCTTCCTCTAGATGCGGGGAAATTCAAAATGGAACAGAGAGAGGCATTACTTTTTATTTTTCTGTATTATTTGAACTGTTTTCAACCACAGACATAAACTGTTTTATGATATAAAACAATATAAGTAACAATTAAAATAAAAAAGAGACTGCAGTTCATTTTAGCTGCAGGAAGAAAAGGAGGATGTGGGAAAAGGTTGATTCCACTCTGAGGCCTGTCTTACAAGGGAGGAAAAATATCTCCAAGGAAAAGAAAAGTTGAAGGTAGCATCCAAGAGTGGCTGCACCGAGAAGCTTCTTGGCCTTAAAGAGAAAAAGACCCAACCTGTGGGGTTGTTTCCTCCTCCTCACAGTGAGGCAGCAAGATGTGGTGACCACAGGGGTGAGTGGGGGGTCAGTCTGGTGGCTTCAACGGGACTGGCCCTGGTTAACAGAGAGATGTCAACAGAAGAATATGGGCCAGGGCTTGGAAAACAATAATACTGGCCAGGGTAGCCACCCAGGTTCCTCATCCTACAGGGAGATGGAATTACCTTTACCTCACAGAACTGGGGCAATGATAAAATGAGATCATGTAACTCTGCAAGGCAGGATTACTCTTTGGGAATCAGATTTTAATCAGATTTTTCAATCATAAAATGTGAGGAGGGACTACAGATTCCTTCAAATAGGAGTGGTCTTGAATAGGTTAAATCATATCTACACTTGGAAAAATCCCTTCAACTTCAACTGTTGTATTTAAAGCAAGGGTGATCTCATGACTCATCATTTAAGTCCAAATAAGCTTCTCTCCGAAACTGATCTCTTCTTACCGATTCTGAAAGGACTTTCCAGCAATATTGTCTCTGTAGGAATCAAACAAAACGTGGTATTGATCCCGGCTCCATTCCAGAACCACCTAGGAAAAAAAGGAAAAAAAAAAAAAAGGAAAAAATGTTTACCCTGCATCAATACTAAGAGTATAGAACTTTCATTTCATTTCAATTTCATTAAGAATCATTAAAGGAACAGGAAAAGAAATAAAAATTCATCCATTCACCCAGTGCCTCCCATATATATATTATACCAAACACTGTGCTCAGTCCAGATAAAAAAACTACAATAGAAGGACAGTTATACATAAAAGCTACAGTTACTGGCCTGTGGGAAGAGGGGAATCAAAGAGGATTTAAAAGGATGCAATATGAGAATTAGGTCTTAGAGAATAAGTTCACAAGGTAGGGAGAAAGGGACAGTGCCGCAAGAACATGTTCGAAGGCTGAGAAGCAGCAAGGGTGAGTGGTTTCAGGGTAACAGTGCAGCTGGCTTTGGTGGGAGCACAGCTAGTGAGTGGAGAGAATGGGGCTGGGAAGGGAAGCTGGGTGCTGACTGTTGTGCCCTGTGTACCATGGGAAGCAGAGGCACTAAAGGATTTTCAGGCAGCTCCGTGATCCATCCAAACCTCAGCAGATTCTCCTCACAGCACAGAACAAAGCTATAATAGGAGAGACTGACAAGATATGGGGGTGATGGCCTTACTGTCTATGGAGTTTCAGCTGATGACCTTGCTAAATAATTCAGGAGACAATGGAAAGTTCAGATAGGAGCTCCCTCATGTCTGCACCCCAAATCTATAAGCCCACCCACACATGTGCCCCATTTTCTTCTTCACTCCCTTCACCATAGAGGAAGTGTCCCTCCTCCTTGCAAGCACCCCATCTCTGTCCATTTGCTCTGGATCTCATCAACTTGTCTCAAGACTGTTGTCTGTTCTCTCTTTTCCTCTCAATAGGATTATTTCCATCAGCCTATTCCAGTAATCTCAGGAAAACCTTCCCTTCACTCCACACCCTCTGGCAGTTGGTCCCTCTATTCCAAATTCTCTTTCAAGGGCAAATATCTTTAGACAGTCCTTTTCTGTGCTCTATTTACCCTTCAGCCACTCCAATACCACTTCTGCCCTTACCATGTCAGTGGTCTTACCAAGGGCTCCATGTTGTAGAATCCAGTGACATTTTCCCCATCTCTATCTTACTCAATTGGTAGCAGCTACCCAGTTCCTCTTTACTAAACCACTTCCCTAGCTTTCCTCCCATCACTCCGGTGACTCCTTTTCAGTCTCGTTTGCCAGGTTATCTTCTATCTGACCTTCAAATGTGTCCTTTCATTCAATTCCTCTTCCTGAAATGCTCTCCCTTCCTGCCAAGGCTTCTTTCAGCTTCCTATTGTGCAAACCCTAGGATGTGTGGCCCTGCTACATTCAGATGACCACGGGAGCCACCATCACTTAGCTTTCATTCCAGTCAGCAGAAAGGAGAGATAGGGAATGATATGTCCCTCCATTAAGGAAACTTCTTGGACGGGGCACCTACCACTTCTGTTTTCGGTGGCCAGAACACAGTCACGTGATGACATGTGGCTACAGGGGAGGCCGTGTGGACCCATGTGCCCAGCTATAACTGCTCATTTCTTTGCATGGCATTCAGGTTTTCAATATCTGACCTCTGCCTATCTTGACAATCTTACTTCTTTGCACAGCATTCAGGTTTTCAATATCTGACCTCTGCCTATCTTGACAATCTTACTTCACTGGGGTGCTTCATAAACACCACAAATTAAATAATAATCCGCCCATCACTCAACGTACTGATTTAAAAACTGAGGGTCTAATGTACCTTGTACTGGATTTACAAAGAGAAATAAGGTAAGTTCCCTGACTTGAAGGAACTATAGCCAATGATTAATAGAGAAATTTATTGCTGGCTACAACTGCACTGAAGAAGGAGCACCTCTTCCTATGAAGACAAAGACTTGACTGAAGAGGCAATGTTAGCAGACTTAAAGGATGAACAGGTCTGTTGGTACTAAAGCTGGGGTACAAAGGGTGTGTTAGAGGGATCTGCTACCAGACTTGATGAGGGAGTGAAGAAGGGGAAGAGAAGCGAGGTGATTGCTAGATTTCCAGTATTTCTAATAGGAGTGACTGAAGAAACAGTGGGGCCACTTAATGACATAGGAGGAACAGGTGTAGTAGGGATGCACGCTGGTGGGAGTCCCATTTTAGTCATGGTAGATTTGAAGCTGTATATGCATACAACTGGCTGCTCCAACTGGACTGGAAATTCCAAGAGGGGGAATGAGCTTTATGGTAGTATCACACATCACACCATAACCCAATGGCAGGCATATAGCTATAAAATACCATCTTTGCTAAATATAGAATATATATCTATTTTTAATAACATAATTGTATTGATTTGGATCAACTTACTGAGCTCAAATAGAAGTGATTCTCCATCAATATCCCTATGTAGCTGCAAAAGGACAACTAGTACATTACTTGTATAAAACAAACCACAAAAAATAAAGCTCAGTATCACTGTTCTTGGCTTGTAGTGCTACCCAGAAGATGAGAAGATAGTATCAGAGAGGGCATACTTCACAAATGACTAAGAAATGCTGATGTGCTGCATGTTGACACAACGTGCCTTCCTTCATCAGATAAATTAATCTCACCATCTCCAAACCACTTTGGTGTATTAGAAAGAACACAGCAGCAAAGGGTCCTTATCTATCACATTTAGGAATGTTCTCCTCTCCTATCAGCGAGAGTTCTGCACACTTCAGGGAAGGTAGTAGGAATGCTGGGTTATGATTCAGGGGACACGGGGTTTCATCCCAGCTCTGTCACTTTTATGAGACCTTATGCAAGTTCTCTGGTCTGTTTAGGCTGTTTCTTCCTCTGTTTTACATTTTATGAAGGGGGTCTGACCAACTGTCCTTGAAATCCCTTCCAGCCCTAAGAATATATGACAGAAGGAGGTGCAGGGCTGTGCGGCTGGCACCATGTCCGGCATGGTTTCTTCCCTGCACCCACATGTCAATGCCACTGGGACACCATGTCTCTTCTCTTCCTGTCTTCAGCCTCCTCTGGGTCTCTTATCCCTTGTCCTAACCCATCAGCATTGAAACATGATCCTCTTCCGTCATAACCATTTCCCTTTTCTGCTTATTTTTTTAAAATGTTTTATTTATTTATTCATGAGAGTCAGAGAGAGAGAGAGAGGCAGAGGCAGAGGGAGAAGCAGGCTCCCTGCCTAGCAGGGAGCCCGATGTGGGACTCGATCCCAGGACCCTGGGATCATGACCTGAGGCGAAGGCAGACGCTTAACCATCTAAGCCACTCAGGCGCCCTCCCTTTTCTGCTTAATCCCAACTGTGAACTACACCCTATTATGGAAATCTTGCCAAACTCTTTAAGTAAATGAGTAATGTGCTATACCGGGGATCGAAAAGGAACCTTGTAAATCAAATAAAAAATCATCTGAGCACTAGTGTCAGATCATTTTCTTACACTATCAAGGATAGTGTAGAAAAGAGTGGAAATCTGAATGGGCAATTAGGAAATTATTCTGGGGTAAACTATACAAATATAAGCACCTTTCAAACAACAAACAAGCCAAAATAGACCTAAGCTTGCAATCAGATCTTGTTTTCAGCCATTATTAGCAATAAACAAAAGACCAGAGGAAAAGGTTAGAGAAACACTAACTACTATAAAATCAAGTCCCTTTTCATCCACAAAGCCTTTCCATATTCTTCAGCCAACCTGAACACTTCCTCCTCAGAACTTTAACTTTCATCTCTACTGCTTATTTGGAAATCAGTTACTCACGGCCCTCTAATATTTCTTGCCTTGCATCCCTTAGCTTTTTTTTATCATTATTTACCTTCCCCCTCATGGAAACATCTTGTCAGACCAATTAAGTTATAAACTGCTTGAGGGTACAGAACTACTTCCAATCTACTTATCGTCAACTCATGCCCAGCATGATTCATTATATACCATCTTATTGTCCATAAATATAAATATTATCTGGTTACGGCAGGAGTAATGTAAGACTGGATTTGGGGGGGTGGAGCGCCTGGGTGGCTCAGTTGGTTAAGCATCTGCCTTTGGGTGCTGGGATTGAGCTGGCATCCTCTGGGCTCCCTGGTCAGCTGGGAATCTGCTTCTTCCTCTTCTTATGCCCCTCCCCCTGCTCATGCATGCACTTTCTCGCTCTCCTCCAAATAAATAAATAAAATCTTAAAAAACAAAAGACTGGGTTTGGGGACTTGGGACATGGGACACCTCCGGGGGGAGAACCTCCCAGTTCTTCTATTTAGTAACTGTGTAACTGTGGGTACTCAATTTCCTCAACTATGAACTAAGTACAAAATGTATTTCATCAGTTTGTTGTGTTGCTGCAGTAGGACAGTGATTCTCACTTGACATGCATAAATAGAAGGTCTGAGGAAGGTATCAGGCATGTTAGAAGACATGGGTAAACAAAGCATATCTTCCTGAACCATCATTTGTAATGGCAAAATATTTAAAATATTATACTGATAGTAATGCCAAATTTTTATGGAGAAAAACAGAAAACTGATGTGATTTTTATAGACACAATGCTGGCCTTTAAAATTTCCTACTTGCCATTTTGCTCTATCCCCCCACCCCCTCCACACACATACCTCTCTACACTATTCTCTTCAGAGTACTTACTTTTTTCTGCCATCAAAAGTAGTTTGTTGGTCAAACTTAAGACACAATGAACTAAAATAGTATTAAAATACTATATGAGCTCTAAAATACCACATAAGCAATGTATTATTAATAAAGAACTGTAAAAATCATCTAGGGATGCCTGGGTGGCTCAGTCTGTTAAGCGTCTGCCTTTGGCTCAGGTCATGATCCCAGGGTCCTGGGATCGAGTCCTGCAGCAGGCTCCTTGCTCGGCAGGAAGCCTGCTTCTCCCTCTGCTTGTGCTTGCTCTCTCTGAGAAATACGTAAAAATCATCTAAAGGTAA